TTAACGACAATTTTTAAAAATAGACCCAAATCGGCCTTTTAACATTAATTGTGATCCAAAAAAATTAAAATTAAGACTGACTCATTTTTTGATTTATTAAAAATCCTTAAAATAATTCGGTATCATGTCAATTCGGCGCGGAAAATTTGGCACAGCGTCAATTCAGCGCAGCGTCAATTAAGCGCAGCGTCAATTAAGGGCAGCGTCAATTAAGCGCAGCGTCAATTCAGCAAAGCGTCAATTAAGCGCAGCGTCATACAGCAAAGCGTCAATTAAGCGCAGCGTCAATTCAGAAACGTCAATTAAGCGCAGCGTCAATTCAGCAAAGCGTCAATTCAGCAAAGCGTCAATTCAGCGCAGCGTCAATTCAGCAGGGCGACAATTCGGTGCAGCGTCAATTCGGCGCCTATCTAATACAGCTGCAATTTATTATAAAAATTAGTATAAAAAAAGGATGATTAAATGCAGAGACCTGCAGGCCCGGCCCTAAACCCGGCCCGGGCAGGGCCGGGCCGTATTTTAAATTTTTTAAATATACCCGGGCCGGGCCTAAAAAAAATTTTTTAAACATATCCGGGCCGGGCCGGCCGGGCCTAAAAAAATTTTTTTAAATATATCCGGGCCGGGCCTTAATATTTTTTATAAAAATTTTTACATTATGAGTTAATGGTTATAAGATTATATTATATTATAGTTATGATTAATATAATATTGGGTGATGGTTAACACTACCTAACAACCCACATATCGATCTAATTATTAATTTCCTGCAAATTTATTCAAAGTATTAATATATTTTTTTATAATTCATATCTAAATTTTTACAACATATTTTACCAAAACAATCAAATAAAGGAATATCTTAAATAAGCCCCAATATTCAAGTATTATTAATATATTTTTTTATAATTCATATCTAAATTTTTAGAATATATTTTACCAAAACAATCAAATAAAGGAATATCACTTCTTAAAGTTTGTAATACCTTTCAAAGCGAAAAGGAGAAATAAAATTGATTTTACTTAATATAAAGCATTTTTTAATTGAAAAATTTGTTTTACTCAAGTATCATTTTATTTCCCTTTTTCTCTGTCCCAAATTCAAGCAATTACGTATGTAGTCAGAGACAGATCGCAAAATGACGAAAAACTATATAAAAGATTATATTAAATTACAAGAGGCTCAGGAAGTAAATGAAATACCATCGACCAGTCAAATTACGACTGTTGTTAAACAAACTGAATCGTTTTATGACAAATGGGGCGATGGTAATTCTGGTAATATGTCAATACCCGATCATGAATATTATAATTACATAAATAAAAAAATAGATGAAACATTTAAGGTGGATAATTTGTTAGAGTGGTGGGCGGCTCATCAAAGCGAATTTCCAATTTTAGCAAAATTGGCAAAACGGGTATTGGCAATTCCTGCTTCAAGTGCAAGCTGTGAGCGGAATTTTTCCACTACTGGGAGAATTCTTGAAGAAAGAAGAAGTAATCTTCAACCTAAAAAGGTAGATATGCTTCTCTTTATTCATGATAATTTGTGAATTTTTAATATCTTTCTTGAGTATAGGGTTTCGTCAATCATGCTGGTTTTTTACTTTGCAAACGGTCAAATATTTATTGCATTTATTATATTTTACCTTGACTCATAAAAGTTTTTAATCCAACATTTTTCATTATTTTTTTTTACAATATTATATAATACAATTTATCTTCTTTTGTTAAAAATTTATATTATAAAATAAATTATATTAATATTGTGCAATTAGATTATATTTTCAAAATACTATTTATTATACATGCATTTTTTTAAATAGCGATTTATTTTTATTTTATAAATTAAATAGTAAATTAAATACAATATATTATATTCTCAAAATATTTTCCATTTTTATAAATTAAATATTAGTTTTATTTTTTTTTAATGTAATTATAGTATATGACAAATATTATTACCATTTTTATGAATATTAGTTTTATTTTTATAAATGCAATATAAAATATAATATATGCTCAAAATATCCATTTTTATAAATAACAGTTTTATAATTTTTATAAATTCAATATAATATTCTCAAAATATTAGCTTTTTACATGTATTTTTTAAATAATAAGCGATAATACTCGCTGAAAAATATGGTAAAATACCTCATAGGTGAATTTTTGTATATACCAGGTCGAATATAATTTTAAAAAATTCCGAGCCGGGCCTGAAATTTTTAAATCCGGGCCGGGCCGGGCCTGGCCGTAAAAAAATTTTTTAAAAAATATCCGGGCCGGGCGTTAAATTTTAAAATCCGGTCCGGGCCTAAAAAATTTAAAACAGGGCCGGGCAGTTCAAATGGTACCTCTGCAGGCCTCTGATTAAATGGAAGTCATTTAAATGTTAGTCCTATTAATTATTTCTTTATGTTTTTTTACAAAAATCTCAATTTTATTTACTAAATGTGTAATATCAATAAAGAAATTTAATAATTTCAAAAAAAATTAACAACCAATATTTACCGATTTTTTTGGTGGACAATTTATCACATTATAAGGTACACATATTATTTTGGCTAAGTTTTTAAAAATAGACCAAAATCGGTCGTTAAACATTTTGATTTGAATCTATAAAGAGAGGTCTACTTTTCTTTAAGATTTTGCTAATTCATCAAGAATTAAATTTTTATCTAGAATCAAATTTTTATCTAGAATAATCTTATAAATATTTAATAGTAATCCATAGATTTTTCACTAGTAGTATTTCTTAAATAGGTTTTTAAACTTGAAAAAGACCTTTCATTAATGCAGGTACTAATTGGTAATGTAGCTAAAATAATTAATAATGTTTCAATATTAGGAACCTAAATTGCAATTACATTTTTTGGTCTCAAAGAATACTCTGTTCTGTAAGGATTACGAAAATCAGAAATAACTTATGATCTGAGCTTACTATATTGAAATTTTCCTAATATCCTCTCGTGTTTCAAGCGTAATCAATTAGACTCAACCAGCAAAAGAAAAAAAAATTTAAATAAAAATATGGCTAATAAATCTTTCCTTTAATTTAAATAAAAATGTATCAGTAAGATGAATAAAAATGTTTATTTTATAAAAATCCTAGACCTGTGCGCCGATGTCTCAATCAACGGCGGCATTTTTTTTTAATTTTTTTATCGGCGTTTGGCAGCGCGCCGATTTTGCCGCCTCCTACTAAATTGTCGGCTGCGGCGGCGCAATATTTATTTTAAATTTATTATCCTTTAGCCACTGTTGAAAAACGAAGATATTATAATTAAATAGTAAACATGAGCGTCAAGAATTTAAAAACAATATTGTGATTATTGAAAGTTAATAAAAACATAAATATTTAATAAAACCTATACAATAAGTTTAATCTATTTATTTTTTCAACTTTTAGGTAGAGATATCACCATCTAATTTTATCATCTAACTCAATCTACCCATGGGAAAATTCAAGAATTAGGATTAGAATCAACATAACGATCCATCGTTATGTTTATTTGCAGAAATGATCGACGGATAAGCATTCTTAACTGTGCATGATGTCAAACGAAGGATGGAATATTTAAAGACGGTTGTATCAGATGAAAATAGAGAATTATTGTTATATTTTGATAAAAATTATGTGAATGGAGAGTTAATAAATGTAAAAAACTCGCAAAGGCAAGTAGAGCCATTGTTTCCACCTAAAACATGAAATGTATTCAGAGTTACGATTGCTGGGGAAAATCCAACACATAATGTATGTGAAGGGTGGAATAATCGATTTCTGCATATTATAGGTCACAATAAATCATGGCAACTAAGCAAAAAAATGAGGATGGAAATAGCCGTCGATATGGGCAAAATCAGCCAATGGAGTATTGAGACCTGCACTCCCAAAAAAATCATAGTTACATGACAAAAGGGACTTACCTAATTTTCTCTATTCAATTGGATAACATATAGATATACGTTCTAGAATTGTTTCATTTGAATAGTATAATTTCGATTGTTTCATATATCATTTTAATAAAATATAATTATTTATTTTCTGTAAATTAAAAAAATTCATAAGCAAAATAATAATTGTAAGATTTGAAACATATAATATTCAGTGCTGATAATCCTCTGAAATAGATGTTTTTTGATTAAAATGGTCCATTTTTTATTACTTTAGGGAGTATTTAATTTAAATTGGGCAGTTAAAAAAATATAATTTAGCAAGTTTTATATTGATTTGGTATTCAGCCAGTTAAATTCTTATAATTGACATTAAATACTTCATTAAAATAATTTTTATCATATAGAGATGACCAAGTTTAATTTCAAATTTCCTATAGAATTTATATATATAATTATATCATTCAAGCGCCAGTCATTAGCATAGAAAACAAAAAGGACGCTATTTAAGAGTTAGTAAAGGCCATGCTATTATTTTTGCTAACTAATGGCAAATATCAAATTTGTGATAAAGAACACAATATATTTTATATTCTAAAAATTATCATATCAGAAAAAGATTTCACATATAGCATAACAAAATTATACCAATTGAAAAATGGCTCACTATTTTTGAAGGAAATTGTGAAAAGCCTCTTATCATATTTCTAAAAACTTCATGGAAATGAATAATAATTTGTGAAAAAATAATAATTTTTTTAAAATAAATTTAATTTTCCATAAATATTTAAAAGTTGATAAAAATGTGTAAAAGTGAACTACATTGGCGTACGCAGCGGGGGGGGGGGGCAGAGAGACAAATCCCCCCCCCCCCCCAAAGCCAAAATGCAGATGCCGGACATATTTTCAAAAATATTATTTTTTATATTTTTATATTTTATTATATTTATTCATATCTATTTCTTTTTAAATTTTTATATTATTACCTTTTTCATTTACTAATTTACTTTATCAATTAATTTCATTTTCAAGTTTTCCTTGTGGCGTAATATTTATCTATTATTTTTAAATTTCCCGGTATTATAATTTTCAAATTTCTAGTCATGGATATTAGACTTTTTTTAAAAAACGCTGAAGGTGAAAATCATGCCAAAAAGCAAAAAAGTATAGTATAATAATTTAATAATATTTTAATTTAAAAATATTTTTAGCAATTAAACCCCCCCCCCCATAATAGCTAATAATTAAAGAATTGTTGAAAAAATAATAGATAGTCAGCATATAGAGCCATCTAAAGGTCAGTTATTCTAAAAATATATTTGGTATTTAATAAATAATTTTACATTTTTATGTAAATAAATAATTATACATTTTTATGTACTTTTGGAGATTTTTTTAAACACCTACTTTGAAAATGAAATGTTAATTTAATTATGTAATAATAAAATAACTGAATTTTTTAAGATTCAGCATAAGATTATTTTGAAGAACCTTGTAAGGTATTTAATTTAGTAAAAGAATGAGATTGCAACAATGTGCAGCAATCATTTTTTTAAAAATAATTTTAATTTAATAACTAGAGTACAATGATCATCCATATGATATAGCCAATTTTTTAGATAAAGATAATATTAGCCTAGAAGAAAGACATATACTTCTTAAAAAGGTATATATTAAAGATGCCTATGATAAATATTTTATTTAATAATAGATTTATATTCCACCCCTTAATTTTCAATATCCCCAAACTTTATGTGCTAATCGAAAGTTAAAATTTCAAAATAGCTATTTTACAAGGTGGTTATGGCTAGCACACTCCATCCGAAACAGTGGAGCATATTGCAAAATATGTGTCCTGTTTGGACCACGATATGCTGGCATAAATCTAGTTAAGCTTAACACTCTTGTTAAGACTCCTTTCAATAAATACAAAGATGCGGGGGAGATTTTTGACAATCATCAGAAAACAAATTATCACAAAAGCTGTGAATTGATGATTTCCTCAAAAGAATCAATTCAAAAGGGGGATATGATTCCCATTTCAGCAATAATTGATAAAAATAGGATTAAAATTGCAAAAGAAAATAGAGGCAAGATAAAACTAACTATTGAGGCTATTTTATATTGTGGCTTGCAAGGCCTAGCACTTCGTGGCCACAGGGATTCAGGAAGCTTAAATTTTAATAATAATGATAACGAAGGTAATTTCCGTGGACTTTTAAAATTTAAAGCATTAGGAGATCCTGTATTAATGGAGAGCCTCATTAGTACCAATAAAAATGCTACTTATCTCAGCCCTAGGAATCAAAATGAGATAATTGATATTTGCAACAATATCATTTTAGAAAAATTGATTGTTGAAATCAATTCTGCCCCATGCTTCTCAATTTTGGCAGATGAGACCACGGACATTGCTGGCATTGAGCAGATGTCGTTGTGTGCGCGATATGTAGATACTCATAAAAACATTATCAAGGAAATGTTTCTCCAATTTATTCCTGTTTCAAGCATGACTGGGTCTGCTTTAGCTGATATAATATTTGTGAATCTTAAAAAATTAAAAGTAATAATTAATCTTATTATATAATTATTTTCAAAAATATAGCTAAATATAAATATGATACGTGGGCAAGGGTATGATGGAGCACGTGCAATGATACAATTCAATGGGCTTCAGGCATTTATTAAAAAAAAATGCCCCGCTATATATTTCCACTGTGCTGCCCATTCACTCAACTTAGCAATATCGGATTCATGTTCTTTACCATTGATATCAAATTGCTTAGGTTTTTAATTATTAAAATTAAATTTTCTATATTTATATCAGGTAAAATATCTAGCATCTATGAGATGTTTAGATACCCCAAGCGTCAAAATATTTTGAACAGAATTATATCTGAAACTCCTGGCCCAACAAGGAGAAAAAATTGCAAAAAGCTTGTCCAACAAGATGGAGTCTTCGACATCAAGCAGTAAGAGCTTTTATCGAGTTAAAAGATCCGATTATTAATGCTCTTACAGAAATATCACAATGGTCTGAAAGAGATATTTCTTCAGAAGCAAGCAAGTTACTGGATTCAATACTTATACCAAATTTTTTTTTTCGCATTAGAATGTATTAATAAATTATTTAATTATACAACTATTTTATGTAATAGTTTTCAAAAACCTGATATTGATTTGATTGAGATGATGAGAATAGCAGAGACAATTTTATTAGAACTCAAAGAAATTAGAGCTAATGCTGATGAGGAATTTCATATTTTATATGTTAATGTTGAATCAAAAGCAGAGCTATATGAGTTCAATATTTGTCTCCCTCGACCTGCAGTAAGGCAAACTTATCGTCCAAATATTAATATAGGGTCAATAGAAGAATATTATAAAATAAATGTCTTTATACCTCTTTTGGATACATTTATAACCCAATAAATGAAAGGTTTTTAAATCATCAAGAAGCACTTATTAATCTGCAGATATTACTTCCGCAAAAGCCCTCTGAACCTTTTTCAGATGGTGATAGAAAAAAAATAAAATATTTGAAAGATTTTTATCATGAAGACATTAATGTATATCATAATGCTTTATTAGCTGAATGCCAACTATGGTATAAAAGATTAACTATGGTTGATATAGTCCCAAAAAATGCTATGGATGCTTTGCATCATTTCAAACATCTTTTAGATTATTTTCCCAATATATTGAAATTATTATATATATTAGCAACTCTTCCCATTAGTACTGCAACTAATGAGAGAACATTCTCTTCTTTAAGAAGATTAAAAACGTACCTAAGAAGTACAACTTCTGATAGTAGGTTGAATGGTCTGGCCCTTTTGAATATTCATAGGCATTTGACGCCAAACACGGATGAGATAATTGAAAAATTAGCCCACTCCCAACGAAGATTGGATTTTACATTATAAAAATATAATGTTTCTATAATATTTTTTGTGCTATCATTTTTTAATGTCTTATATATTTTTCTTTTACATAAAAAATATAATTATTGATATTTCCAACATTTAGATTTTTTATACCTTATAAATAAATTTTAAAGGCTCAAAAAAATTTAAATTTCTATTATGGATTATTTATTTTATAGTCATCATATCCTGGTTATATCCACTTAATATTTTATAATTCAGATTTATTTAAATTATTTATATGCCGCCGGTTATATCCGTCTAATATTTTTTAAATCAAATTTATTTTTATATACCGGTTTATATATTTAATTTTTTATAATTCATATTAATTTAAATTTGTATATTAGAAATAGTTATTAGTCCTAATAAATTTATGCTTGACATTTTTAAATAACAATAATTTTATTTTAAAAAATTTAATTATCCCCCCCCCCCCACACCAAATTCCTGCGTACGCTACTGGTGAACTAGATTTATTAACCTTTCGTTTAATTATTTAAAACCTCAAATCTTCGAGGGAATTTGAATTTAAAAAACATTTTGATTTAATTAAAGCATTGCAGATCCTGGTCAAAAAATGGTATGTTTATAAATCCGGGCCAAAATAAAAAATTTGAGCTGGCCATTATCATTACCTTAGCGTATAATAATATTTTGTATAATATCACGGAGATTAGGTATCCAATTCGTTTATTTTATATATATTATTTTGTTTAATATTCACCAAACCTTTGTTCGGGATAAAGCCATAACATTATACATTATATTGGTTCCCGTGGAATTAATTTCCGGTTATTCCGGAAATTTTTTTTCTGGGAATTATTTTACTAGATTCAATGAATTGTTTCTAAAACGCTTGCAGTGCAAAGAGTGACGACACTTAGATTTGACCGATGTTTGACAATATGGTGATAGTGTGTCACTATATCGCAATTGAGTCTGATCAATGGCATAACATAGCTCACGTTGCTTAGGAGCTGGTCAAGATTTCGTGATGAGAAATTCTTGAGAAATTTGTAGCCACCTGCTGCGGAATGGAGAAGAGTAAAGAATGGTCCTCAGGTTGGCTCCCCCATTTTAGGTATGCAACGCAGTTGCAAACTATAGCAAGCAGTTGCCAACGCCGATAGGATAGACTAATGAGAGAGATTTTGAGTGATCAATTGCTTGCAGTAGCAATGTTGGTAAGGTAGCCTGTAATCAAGATAGATCCCAAATTAAAGATTGAGTATATCTTCTGTGAGGCTCTTAATCTCAAGCACATCATATTGGAAGATTCGCGACTATCAGAGTGTATATAAAATTCTAGAAATTAGAAGGCATTTCTTCAATAGGAAGAAAGCTTGGTGGGCTGGGAGGTGCGATAGTGTATAGAGCATTGAAATATTGGCAAAGAACTTGATAAAGGACTCGTCTTTACCTATTGGAGATTTGAGATGTATCAAAGAGTAAAAGGTGTTTGATTAAACATAAGATCGTTGTTAAGGTCAATGATTCCAAGGGTTGCAATATTATCCTAAACCAGTGTAGGATGGGACGCATTCCAATATAATTGGTAAGTTTGACGAATATGGAATTAAAGTTTTAATGTTGACAAAAGCTGCTCTATTTTATCAATACATCTTGTTCCCTGTCAGACCAAACCCAGGAACTTTTAATGCTTGTTAATTTATGCAGTGGATTGGCAATAACATGCAATATGGTAAAAATCTCTCTTGTTAATTCCCAAGTCCTAAAAAAGATCGCAATTGGTGTATATTCTTAGGATTTGGTATCCTTCGAATAGCATCTATTTTTTCTTTCACTGGGTGCATTCCATTTTTATCTATTACAAATCCTGGAAAAGAAGCTGATTCTTTTAAAAAACGTATTTTCGCCCATTTTGCCTTCATACCAACCTTTTTTAATTTCATTAATTTCACATTGTTTAAATGTTCTACATCATTTTTTCCCGATATGATAATATTGTCCAGGTATATTCCTGTCATTTGGCAGTCCTGTAATAGATTATCTATATCGTTGGAAAATAGTCGGCCCACTAAAAATGCCGAAAGTCCCAAACTGCTCTTGCTGGCTTTTATTATCTTGATTGCCTTCATCACTTCATATGGTGGGAATCCTAGTATACAGTCGTCGATATATCAATTTTAAAGATTAAGCTTGCATTGGTCCTTTATGTCTCGTATCAAGCTATTAATGACCAGACAGAACAAAAGGGAACCGAGATGGTCACCTTGTTATATTCCATAGCTAGAAGGAGTCAATTTATCTCCAAATTGAAGGCGCAAGAGACTAGCAGCAATCGAAGATAAATTGCGATTCTGGGTAGAGAGTGAGAATAGGATTTTGAAACGCGCTCCGCCTTTGATGGTTAAAGGAGTTCGAAAAGTCTATTTTAACTAGGATATCGTCACTGGGGTCTGTTTGTAAATACATCCAAGTCATGTGAAGGGATACCACACACAGGTGACTGGATATCGTGAACAATATTCTGCTTACTACTTTATTGAATTAGACTACATATGACTTTATTATTGCATTCACTAGAAAATATAAAATGTCAATCATCATGATGATATAATCTAAATAGAATGTAATATAAAATGTATGAATTATAATAATATCTTATATAGTATTTATCACATTTCCTCACACTTAAGATTTAAAATCTCCTCAATCAGACGATGTGTAGGCTTCCTCAATTGTTGTGATTTACCCCTCATTGTTGTTTCTAGTTCTCGGGGTAATAAAAACATATTCTGTTGACCCGAATTTTCATCAGTCTTTTCCGTTACGCCGTTATCTCTCTCTCTATAGCTGATCCTTCTACATTTTCCAAATTCTCAATTATTTCTGACTACGTAATTTCTTCAATTTCTTCCTCACTCCCTGACCTCTCCATTTCTTTTGTTACATCCAATTCACGCTGCCTTATCGTTCTATCCTTACTTTCTACGAAATAGGAATATCTACCAGTTCTGGATTTTATAATTCCTCCTCTCCAACCTGAATTGATTTCATTATGTCCCCATACAGGTTGTGGGGTTTCGAATTCCCTCATTTGAATGTGTTCATCGTGCGCTGTCTCGTTCTATCCTTACTTTCTACGAAATAGGAATATCTACCAGTTCTGGATTTTATAATTCCTCCTCTCCAACCTGAATTGATTTCATTATGTCCCCATACAGGTTGTGGGGTTTCGAATTCCCTCATTTAAATGTGTTCATCGTGCGCTGTCTTTTGTCATATATTAAATTATTCCATCTCATTCTGATATATATGGTAACCAATCTAATCCAGTTTTTAGATTGCCGCCCAAAAATAATTTTGCAGGTGAACGTCTAATTGATTGGTGCTAGCCCTTTCTGTATGTTATCAATTTCCTCTGTCTCTCTAATATTTTTTCTAGTGGCAAAATATCGACTCTTAAGTGTTCGTATTGTTCTTTCAGCTAAACCATTCGTTTTGGGATGGTAAGATGTTGAATATGTTAATTTAATATTTTTCTTTAAACAGAATTTTCGAAATTCTCCAGAAATATGAGGGCCATTATCTGGCACAATTTGTCTTGGTGCTCCAAAACGTGCTCATTGTTGACTTGGTCTCTCTCATCGGCATCTATGAATGACTGCACTATGTGCATCAACTCAAACTAACCATGAATACGAATCGATAGATCCCGCGAAATCTAGATGAATGAGTCCCCATGGCATATTAGAGATGTTCCACGAATATAAAGGAGCTCCTTTATTATCGACCGGTTACTTTAACATGGCATATATTGATGAACATGTTGTTCGATGTCTTTATCGCAAGGTAACCAACAATACATTCTAAAAATTGATCCATAACATTTATTCCTGGATACCCTCTGTGTATAATAGTAAATAGTGATTTACTCAACGCGGTTGGAATTACCAACTTTCCATTCCATTCAATGACATCACGATCTATTGTAAATTCCTCGCTACGATTATTAAAACAAATTAACTCTGCATCATTTTTCGCATCAAACCCTATCCATCCTCACTCAATGTTTTTAATTACTTTATTTAGCAATCTATCTTTCCTTGTTTTTTTCTGGAGTTTAACTTGAAGAAGATTTATATCGAGCAAATTTATAGCTCAAATTTTTGATGCATGTTTCTGATCGTTATTTGACTCCATACTTGCTACTGGCAGTTTAGATAATGTATCAGCCATTATGTTTTCCTTTCCTGGACGATAAATCAAATCATATGCTGACATTTTCCGTGGCCAGCGCGTTATTCGACAAAGGCTAGTTATCTGTTTGCAATATAATCCTAAACCAGTGTAGGATGGGACGCATTCCAATATAATTGGTAAATTTGACGAATACGGAATTAAAGTTTTAATGTTGACAAAAGCTGCTCTATTTTATCAATACATCTTGTTCCCTGTCAGACCAAACCCAGGAACTTTTAATGCTTGTTAATTTATGCAGTGGATTGGCAATAACATGCAATATGGTAAAAATCTCTCTTGTTAATTCCCAAGTCCTAAAAAAGATCGCAATTGGTGTATATTCTTAGGATTTGGTATCCTTCGAATAGCATCTATTTTTTCTTTCACTGGGTGCATTCCATTTTATCTATTACAAATCCTGGAAAAGAAGCTGATTCTTTTAAAAAAACGTATTTTCGCCCATTTTGCCTTCATGCCAACCTTTTTTAATTTCATTAATTTCACATTGTTTAAATGTTCTACATCATTTTTTCCCGATATGATAATATTGTCCAGGTATATTCCTGTCATTTGGCAGTCCTGTAATAGATTATCTATATCGTTGGAAAATAGTCGGCCCACTAAAAATGCTGAAAGGCATACATTGATATCGAAAATAATCAATATGGGATGTAATAGTTTTAGGTATTCCTTTGAGCTCACTTTTATTGGTAGCTGCTAATAAGCATCTTTTAAATTATTGACAGTAAATTTCAACGCCCCTTCTAATTTGGCCAATAGGTCATCCACAGTTGGTATTATATGGTAATCATATAAGATAAATAGGTTAAATGTAACCTTAAAATCCGCATAAATCCTGAATTGTCCATTTGTTTTGCGCAAGTTTATGTCGTCATATTCAATCTCCTTGAATATTCCTGATTTAATCAATCTATCAAGTTCTATTTCAATTGGTTTTCGTAATGGAAAAGGTATTCTATAGACTCGGCCTTGCTGCCTCACTCAGATATATGCTAACTAACATATCATTCACTCTTCTATGTTTATCATCGAAAACACTGACAAATTCTGTCATCATGACATCAATTTGTTTATCAATTGCTATAACATCTTTACTTGTGATACTGCGTATGGTACCTTGTCGTGGAATTTTTTTTTAAATGCCAGTATCCATGGTAGTTCAAATATTGCCAGGGTTGCCCAGTGGGTTATGATGTATGCTTGGAAACAGAAGGTCTCAGGTTCAATCTGGTAAGGAACGTAAAGTTTTCAGGTTTATCTTCGATGACTGATGTGTAAAGACATATAATAAGATAAATTCCGGAGCTTAGAGATGACACCCTGGTCACCGACAGGCTTGGACAGCCAGGTTCTAAACTTATCCAATAAACAAAATGAAGGAAACGAATGAATATGAATATATAGGCTAGGGCGTTTCCTACAAGCGACGTGCAGGGTGTAGACCTCCATCCTGCGAAAAGTAAATTAAAGGTCAAAGCAAAGAAGACAAGGTTAGCAAGTTTGAATATTGGTACACTTAAAGGTAGACGAGAGAATTGGCATCAATGTTGAATAAGAGAAAAGTTGATAAAGCGTGCATACAAGAGACGAAATGGAAAGGTCAGAAGACTTTAATGATTGGAGATGGGTATAAATTGTACTATAATTGAACTGTTAGCAATAGGAACGGTGTCGGTATCATCCTCAGTCAAGATCTAACCTCCTCAGTAGTAGAAGTCAACAGGATCTCTAATAGACTAATGAAGATAAACCTCTGCATTGGTCAATCAATACTACACATACTTTCAGTATATGCTCCTCAAATTGGTTGCGAGGAAAAGGAGAAAAATGACTTTAGAGCTATCCTTGATGAAGCTGTAATGGAAATCCCTAAGGATGACCTAGTCATAATAGGTGGTGACTTAAATGCGCATGTGGGAAAAGCAAGAGATAGCTACAAAAGGCATCATGGTGGCTTTGGATATGATGGAAGAAATGATGAAGGAGAGCATGTACTAAAATTTGCGCAAGCCTTCGATATTGCCTTAACCAACACCTACTATAAGAAAAATGACAGTCATTTAATAACATATGAAAGTGGTACAAGGAAAACCCAGATAGATTACATGCTTATCTCGCGCAGAGATTAAAAGATGTAATAGACTGCAAAGTCACCCCAGGAAAAGATATTGCTGCTCAACACAAGCTACTAGTCATGGATTTACACATCACAAATAACTCTCAAAACAAGATAAAACTTGAACAATGCATCAAATGTTGTAGATTAAAATCAATGACAGATGCCTTTGCAATCAATGCAAACATTGAAACAAAAGATTCCTCACAAGTCAGTGAAAAAATGTTGACTTTCATCCAGATTAATAGACACTGCCAAATCGATATTAGGCTTGACAAGGGCAGGCAACAAATCATACGATGTACAAACCACTATAAAAGAGATGGTACAAATCAAAAAAACCAGATGACAAGACTAATTACAAAAAGTCCAAGATAATAGCTACAAAGGCGGTGGCTAGGGCCAAAGCTATGGCATACGATGACATGTATGAACTACATACCAAAGAAGGGCAAAATAAAATATACAGATTAGCCAAACAGCGAGAAAAGAATTCTAGGGATATAAACGGAGCTCCGAAAGTAATCAAAAATAAAGATGGGAAATTGATAATAAAGGAAAAAGAAATAATGAATAGATGGAAAGAATATTTTCAGGAGCTTTCAACTTTAATCCCCACATACTACACCTAGATGAACACTCCCTTTGTAAAACTCAAAACTTTGTACAACCAAAAACAGAACAAGAAGTAATCAGATGCCTCAGGCATATGAAAAAAACAAAGCTAGGGGTCCAGATGATATTCCAATAGAAAGCCTTAAAGACTAGGAAATGATGAAATACATTTCCTCACAAATCTGTACAATAAAATACTGGGAAAAGAAGAGATTCCTCGAAAATGAAGGCAGAGCTATCTAGTTCCTATCTTCAAAAATAAAGGGGATCCACACAATTGACAAAATTACAGGGGTATAAAACTAATGTCATACTGTTTTAAACTCTAAGAAAAATAAATAGAAAAAAGGTTAAGAAACATAATAGAAATAGGAGAGACTCAGTTTGGCTTTATACCTGGAATCAATGACTGATGCAATCTACGCAATTAGGCAAATGAGCGAAAAATACAGAAAAAAAGAACAAAAGGCTACACATGGTTTCCTCGATCTATGAAAAGGCCTTCAATAGGAACCAAAGAAAACCTATCTGGTTGGCGTTATGCCACAGCAAAGTTCCCGAAAAATATATAAGAATAATACAGGATATGTATATGGGCCATACAACAATGGTCCGTAGCACAACTGGTACTTCAACAGGCTCCACAATAGCCGAGGGAGTTCATCAAAAGTCGGCTCTCAGCCCACTTCTCTTCATAACAGTAATAGATGGATTATCACAGTTTATACCTCTCGTGGAATATGATATTTGCAGATGAAATTGTGATACTTGCCGTATCCAAGGATGAAATGAAAGAAAGATTAGTGAGTTGGATAAATATGCTAGAAAAGCACAGACTAAAAGTAAATAGAGAAAAGTCGCAGTATATGGTGATAGGAGAAGATGAAACAGAGAGCATTGATATAAATGAATGGCAGATATCGGCAATTAAAAGCTGCAAATATTTGGGCTCCACTATACAAACAATCGGCACGATAGAGAAAGAGATCAAGAGTAAAATTAATCAAGGGTGATTAAAGTGGAGATCTTTATCTGGAGTGCTTTTTGACAAAAGAATCCCACACAAATTGAAAGGAAAAATTTACAGTTCCATAGTACAATAGTTAGGAAACATGGCCATCCAAAGAATAAGACGAGAGAAGTCTACAAACTATAGAGATGAGAATGCTGAGGATAATTGCTGGAATATCAAGAAAGGATAAGGTGCGAAGTACAAGAATACTACGAAGTTTAAAGGTAGTGCCTATTAAGACTAAGATAATGGTGAACAGACTTAGGTGGTATGGGCACACAATGAGAAGGCCTATGAACTACATAGGAAATAAGGTTAAGAGTTTGGAAGTGATGGGCAAACGTAAAAGAGGTAAGCCAAAACTTCAAGGAGGCCATAAAGTTAGATCCAATATGAAGAAGTATAAATTAGATAAAAGTGATAGTATGAATAACATAAGGTGGAAAGAGATATTGATGGAGCTTACCACCAGAAGCGGTGAAAGCTAAAGAGAAAAAAAATCCATGGTAGTTCAAATAGTGATATGATATGAACGGGTAATCACAATCGGTAATGATCTGCATATATTCAAGTCGCACTCTTACAATAGTTCACCAAGGACGTCCAGTTGTTGATTGCCATAAACTGACAATGGTTTTGTTGGTCCAAGTTTTGGTCTGCCAATTTCATCCCAGTATTTTTGTCCAATTACCTATACCTGTGCGCCCGTATCATAATCAAATTCAATCGGTACTCCATTTATCCTAACGGATATCTTAGCACTATTTCTACCAATTTGAGATATGTTATTATTTGAATCTGATTATTTATTGTCATCTTGAATAACATGTAGCTTTTGGCAATTGTAACATTTCACCCTTGATTCAAACCATTGGAATGAGGTGTGAGTTCTTCCACACCGTGAACAGTCATTTCCAATTAATTAAAATTATAAATTTCTTTTTAAATTTATTATTATACGTTTCACTTTTACTTAAAGATCTCACTTGAGGAAGATAATATACTTCAAACGGATATCCTACATTGATGGAAACCAGAAGAAAGAAATTTGCCAAAACTATCAAGACTAGCAAGTAAAATATTGGCAATTCCTGCTACTAGTTATTATTTTGAATGAGTATTTAGCATTGATGGAAGGTTTTTGGAACAAAGAAGAACGTGTTTGAATCCAGAAAATGTCGATTAATTATTATTTTTGCATTATAATTGCTATATCAAATTTATATTTATATTTTTTTCATAAATATTTTATTTGATCAAATAAATTATCCATAATTTAAATTGAATATTTTTTTATGCTTAATATAGTATTTCCTAAATTATAAAATTTTTGAAGAGGTGTAAAGCTGAAATTTTTTTATTAGAGACTTAAAAAATTGAAATGTCCATAATTAAATTTTATAATAGCGGACTTGGGTTAAAAAAAATTTTTAAAGTGGGTAAGAAATTTTAGACTAATAGGCCGGCGGGTATATTTTTATACATTGGGCGGGCGGGCTTATGGTCCAAAAACCCGCCCAATGCAGACCTCTTTGATTTATTATTTTCTTACTGAAATTTATTATTAAAATTAATCATATATGTTAATCTCTATACTTTTAAAAAATTAATAAATAAGAATAATATTTATATTTTACTTGTGAAATTGTAAGATATTATGGTAAAAAAAATTCACTTAATATTCAAAAATAAAAGAAAAATTTATGGTTTTTTATTATTTGTTAATAGACAGATCTCTTTTTAATTGACATTTGTCAGAAAAAAATCAACCATAAACATCATAATAATATCAATTATTGAATTTTAAAAGAATATAATACAAATCATAAGTTATCCCTCAAAAATCAATATTAACCCCCTAAAAATTAATGTCTACCCTCAAAAAAAATATCTACCCCAAAAATCTATACTTAACTCCTAAAATGCCAATATATTTTGGGGACATTTGTCTCCTACCCACCTCGGCCATGTAGACACTGTCTACACCCAAATATAAAAAATGCCTAACCATTAATCAGCATCTATATGACAGGATTTTCACTGGATGCTTAGCCACCTCAAATTTCTACGCCTACCCACCTAAAAAAAATGGTTACATGTCAATCCCGCGAAAATTTTAGCGCGAAATGTATTATCGCGAATGCATTATCGCGAATGTCGATTACCGCGAAAAGATATTATAGCGAATGCATTACAGCGAATGCATTATCGCGAATATAATATAGCGATTGCATTACCGCGAATGCATTATAGCGAATATAATACAGCGAAAATATTATAGCGAATGTATTAGCGCGAATGTAATACCGCGAAAATGTTATCGCGAATGTATTATAGCGAATACATTACAGCGAATGAATTATCGCGAATGCATTATCGCGAATATATTACCGCGAATGCATCATAGCGAATGTATTATAGCGAATGAATTATCGCGAATACATTATAGCGAATGCATTATAGCGAATCCATTATAGCGAATGCATTATAGCGAATGAATTATCGCGAATGCATTATAGCGAATGCATTATAGCGAATGCATTATAGCGAATGCATTATAGCGAATGCATTATAGCGAATGCATTATAGCGAATGCATTATAGCGAATGCATTATAGCGAATGCATTATAGCGAATGCATTATAGCGAATGCATTATAGCGAATGCATTATAGCGAATGCATTATAGCGAATACCATATCGTGAATGGAGTTTCATGAAAGTTACAATTTTATATTTATCGACTTTTCGACTGACTTAGTTGAATCTGAAAATTAAGTTAAAATGGGGATTGGCTCTAAAAACATTTTTTTATTGAAATTAAGGCTAAGGCTTTTCTTTTTTTTGACTCAAAATATATAAAAAAGATTCTAAGTAATAAAATAGATTTCTCTTTTTCATCTAATCATTTTAAATATTAAACATCAAGTTTTTTCTTTTTAATTTATTGAAAACTTGTAGGGGAGAACAGGGTTATGGCAAACCCTAAAGGCAAACCTTAAGAAAATTATAAGTACTTTATCATTTTTAATAAAAAATATCTCATTTTGTTCAGCTCTATTAATTTTATGATATGTTTAAATTTCAAAAATACATCTCTAATAATTTTTTCAAAATATCATTTTTCCTGGAATTTTTTTTGGTAACCGAGTGAACCCTACCCGGGGACGAACAAGCCCTTGGTCGAGGCTATTATAAACTCTGCTTAATTTTCCATATATAAAAGTTATATATTTTTTTATTAGGATATATTTAATGATTTAAAACATAAAAGTGTTATATAAAATCATTTAAAACATTCACAATCTTTGCAAAATAAAAAAACAATAAAATTGCAAAGTGACATTGAAAGCAGTCTTGATTGTTATGCTTGATATAATTTATTTGTATACCAAACAATTATTTATCATATAATAACATTTTTCGATTTTTTTTCTTTTAGTTGGTCTCTCCTTGACTTTTTTTTCCATGTCAAATTTTTAAAAAATAGCAAAAAAAAAGGTTCTACCTAGCCCCATAAAAATAGCCCCAGTACCACCACTTTGATTAAGATCATATTTTGAAATATTTATATTATCAATTTTGTTCGGGTAAATTGTTATTCTATAAAATAGGATTTTTTCTTTTATATAAAATGATTTTTGTGTGGTAAAATTGTATATTAATCTTTATTTTTGAAAAATAGTAAAAGTGTAAAAAGTTACTTTTGAAGGTACGAATGATATAAAGCATTATAAAAATTCTTCAAGCGGTTTGATAGAAATAAAAATTATAGCCGCATATGCAATATATAAGTATATAGTTTTGGTAAAAAATTATCTCTTAGAGTTTAATACTCTAGAAAATAAAGCCACTCTCACTATAACCCTGGTTTCATTATAACACCGGTCTCCCCTAATTATGGGCATCAGAAATTTTTTAGCTTTAACTGATAACATAAAATACTATCACAAAGTTCTTTCCAAAATTGTCTTACTTTGTGGAATAAACAAAAAATGTCTACCAATATGGCAGGTAACATCAAGAAATCGGGTAGGTATCTTATAAATTCTAGTGAAATTCGTATTACGAATCTATGGTTTTGCTTGATAAAATCTTAGTTGAAAAACAAAAGGAGATTGATGAGTTATATGATAACCATGG